CTCGCATAGTGATGTCCGGCCGGCGCGGCGGAGACAAACCATCCCCAATTCTGAAGATGACGCGGTGCTTGTCGAAGATTCGGATGCGGAAAATGAGATCAGCAAGAACGCGGACGAGAGCGGGCTTATTGAGGACTCGGATCTGATGATCGGAGATGAAATCTCACATGCAGCACTCAACTCGTTCAAGACGCTGGACCTCGTTGCTGGCGATACTTCGGAGCTCTTTGTAGATGCGGACGAGACGCTGCCCGATGTCAACGAGAACTCGGTAATGACTATTCCAGACGAGCCGGAGTTCTCGAAGCCGGCAATACCTAATCTGCTTCCCACCGAATCCGCGCCTCCCCTCAGCTCTTGTTCAGCCTCAAACCCGGAGCTGCAGAGCATCGTCGACGCCTTTGTCAAGTGGACGGATCACGAGCTCAATGCCTACACGGAGCACCTGTCCAAAGAGCGCAAGGTGCTCGTCGCTCAAGTATGTGCGGCCCTGGAAAACGACAGCTTCGTGCCGCCCGAGATCCAATCTCAACTCAGCGCGAACAAGGAGAAACAGAAGGCAGTTGAGCAACTCGGTTTTCTTCGCATAGAGCACAGGAACCATGTTCAGCGTAAGGCCGAGCTGCGTGCCCGCTCTATGCATCTGTTTGAGGAGGGTATGGACCTGTCGAGCGCCGAAAAGGCGGAGAATGCCTCCGTCACTTCTGCGCTCAAGGCGACGCAAGATGCCATTCACTCCACCCTGCAGACCGCTGGCCTCATCAATGGCGCTAACATGCTCGTTGCACCTCCGAAATCATCCGTCATTGTACACTCGACACAAGCAACCCCCGCTCCTCCGCTCCTTTACTCCATCTCCGCCCCCATACAGAGCGTCCACCTAACCCAGATGATCCCCCAGAGCCCACAGAGTCCCTCTAAGCGATCTCAGCCTTCTCGCATACAGACAACTAACGTAAACCGGAGCTACCAAGCAGGCGATCGGATCCGGTTCTCGCCTACAAAACCCGTAAAGTCCGCCAGGCAGGCCAATCCATTCTACACAGACCGCGTACCGTCCCCTCCCATCTTTGACCTCGATAATATTGAAGATGAGCCGCAGTTTGCCGGCGTCATGGGTTCCCCGCCTCGCCAGGTGGGGCTGAATTCCGATTTTTTGGATGAGGATCTCGATGAGGAGGAGATGATCCGCGCGGCTGAGAGCGTGGAGATGATGCCTCGCTTTGGTGTCATGGGATCGTCTCAGGGAGCCTACCAGGCGAACTCAACCGTCCAGACCTCTGCGTATCAATCACATCCCGGGTTCCAGTCAAATGCTGGGTACCAGTCCAATGCCGGGTACCAGTCCAATTCGAATTCGATATTCCAAACGAATCAGAATTATCAGTCGAATCAAGGCTATTCTAATTCCGGTTACCAGTCAAATGGCGGGTATCAATCCAACTCGGGGCCGTCGTATCCGGCGCCATATCAGTCTACCCCGACGTATTCGACTCAGAAGCCAATGGGGTCGATGGCACCCTCCAAAACTATGCCAAACAACACACAAAAGCCCCCAACGCCGAAGAAAGCGGAGCTCAGCTACCCCTGGTCCAACGATGTCAAGACTGTTCTACGCGACATCTTCGGACTTCGTGGCTTCCGCCAACATCAACTGGAAGCCATCAACTCGACGCTCGCAGGCAAAGACACCTTCGTCCTGATGCCCACTGGCGGCGGCAAGTCGCTCTGCTACCAGCTGCCTGCTGTCGTCCAGTCCGGTCGCACCAAGGGCGTCACGATCGTAATCTCGCCGTTGCTCAGCTTGATGGAGGATCAGATCAGCCATCTCAAGGCTCTGGACATCCAGGCGTTTCTCATCAATGGCGAGTCCAAGGCCGAGGAGCGCCGCGAGCTCATGAACCACCTGCGCCGCTACGACGTCGAGCAGTACATCCAGCTGCTCTACGTGACCCCCGAGATGCTGAGTAAGAATATGGCAATGATCCGCGAATTCGAGGGTCTGCATCAGCGTGGCCGTCTGGCGCGCATTGTCATCGACGAAGCGCACTGCGTCAGTCAGTGGGGCCACGACTTCCGTCCGGATTACAAGGCGCTAGGACAAGTGCGGCAACGTTTCCCGGGTGTGCCAGTCATGGCGCTCACCGCAACCGCAACGCAAAACGTCAAGGTCGACGTGGTTCACAACCTCGGCATCCGCAACTGCGACGAGTACAAGCAGAGCTTCAACCGGCCGAACCTGACGTACGAGGTCATTGAAAAGTATGGCGGCTGCAACGTGCTTGACGAGATTGCTGGGATTGTTCGCAAGTATCGGAACAAGACTGGTATCATCTACTGCCTTGCGCGCAACAAGTGCGAATCGGTCGCGAAGTCGCTGCGCGAACAGTATGGCATCAGGGCTCATCACTACCACGCTGGTATGAAGCCCGACGAAAAGCGCCAGGCCCAGCAACAGTGGCAGGCTGGAGAGTACCACGTCATCGTCGCAACCATTGCGTTTGGCATGGGAATTGACAAGCCAGATGTGCGCTTCGTCATTCACTTCACTCTGCCCAAGAGCTTGGAAGGCTATTATCAGGAAACCGGCCGCGCCGGTCGTGACGGCAAGAAGTCAGGCTGTTATTTGTTCTACCACTACGGCGACGCAAACCCGCTGCGCAGGATGATCGACGAGTCGGACGGCAGCCAGGAGCAGAAGAATCGGCAGCACAATATGCTCCGCAACGTAGTGCAATTCTGCGAGAATCGCGTCGAATGCCGCCGCGTGCAGATCCTTCGCTACTTCAGCGAGATCTTCCCGGCGGAGAAATGCGCCGGCGCCTGCGACGTCTGCAAGTCGGGGAAGAAGATGGAGTTCCGTGATTTCACAGCCCATGCCGCTGAAGCCGTCGCACTGGTAAAGTCGCTGCCCAAGGGCTCGGAGCTTACAATCCTCATGTGCATCGACATCTTCCGCGGCTCGAAACGCGGCTTCGAGAGTCTGAACGGCTTCGGCAAGGGCAGAGAACTTAATCGCGGCGATATGGAGCGCATGTTTGCGCGGCTGATGAGCGAAGGCGGCCTGGCGGAAATGAACAAAGTCAACGGACGCGGCTTTACGACATCGTACGTGAAACTCGGCCCGCGGGCTAACGACTTCCTCGAGCGGCGCCGGCCCATCAAGTTACCGGTGCAATTGTCCCAACCCGACAAGCCAGCGTCGAAGAAAGCCGCGGCGAAGACGAAGAAGGCGGCCGCAGAGAAGGAGCCCAAGGCCACGAAGACAACGAAGAAGAAGGCGGCAGCAGCAGAGAAGGAGCCCAAGGCCACGAAGACAACGAAGAAGAAGGGCCCAACAACCGGCATGACCGGCGTCGGGTCCTCCCAACTCGCCTCAACAAACGTATCCTCGCCGCTCGCCGCCCCGCGCCGCAAAGCAACCACCGCCGCCACATCCCTCGACCCCGACACCTCGCTGCACAGCAACGGGTACGCACGTTACTCGTTCGTAATACGTGACGGCGATGGCGATGACGATGACTCTGCCTTCGAAACGGTAGGCGGGCCCGCGTCGCGCACCGTGGCGCGCGGGTGCGGCGGCCCCGGCACGCCCATCACCGAGGACGCAATCATGGCCGCACTCTCGCCGCGCAAGCGCAGCATCGTCGACGACTTCATTACCCACGCTAAGGATACGGCGCGCACGCTGATGCTCACGCACCAGCTACGGGCCGCGCCGTTTACGGACACCGTGCTGCGCGAAATGGCGGTGCGCATGCCGCGTACTCAAGCGCAGCTCGCGAAGATCCCCGGCGTGAGACCGGAGATGGCGACGAGGTATGGAGAGCCGTTTTTGAAGATGATACACAAGAGCGCGGATTTATACGCTGCGATGCGCGAGGATGATGGTGATGCGAATGAGGAGGAGGAAGATGAGGAGGAGATTCCTGAGGACCCGAATCATCGCGTCACGTACGTTATTTCCGACGACGAGGACGAGGGCGATGAGCACTCGGCCCCGCCGCCACGCACACAGGGGCTGCAGAACGTGGTCTCGCTCGTGGACGACGGGGCTGAGGAGACGGATTACGGCTCCGACATCGACCTCGACGACGAAGACGAGGAGGAAGTCGAGGCGAGCACGTACTTCGCCGGACCGGCTTTCTCATCGCCCATAAAGCCGCGTCCGCAGCGCGCGGCTGCGGTCAGGGAATTCAACGAGCGCATGGCGCAACTGTCTGGTAAGCCCGAAGCTGAGAAGGCCGCGCCGGCGCCTAGGACGGCGAGGGGAGGGAGGAAGAGGGGGAGTTCTTCTACCGCTGGGAAAGTGCGGAGGCCGCGTATGAGTGGGAGTATGGGGGCGGTGAGGAAGAGGACGAGTGCTGGGACGGGGGCGAGGGGGGCGAGGAAGACTTCTGCTGGGAGGGGGGGGAGAGGGGGACGTGGAGGAGGAGGGGGAATCGGTATGATGCCGGTTTAGTGGGTGGTATGAATTATCGAGGTATGCTGACTTCGGCGTTGGTCAGGAGGGCGTTCTGGTGCCATTTGCCTGGTTCTACTGGTGGTTTTCTCTGGCTGTGGGTGTATTGCGGGGCCTGTGTTGTAATTGGGCCTGGTTATGCTCTCGTTGGATCGACTTTGGTCGATCGCCGGCGTTGGTGGGGATGAATAGATATACTCTGTTAGCCTGTCTCTTTAGTGCACGGTGAGGTAAAGCCGTGAACATGGATTGAACGGACGATCCAATATGATTCCATGAGCACATAGTGCACCGGGGAAATATCCCGTGAGACTCATTCAAGGCAACCTTACACAAGTCAGTAGCTAGGTGCCGATTAGGGCTGGCACCGGCCCGCACATTCCAACCTCGGCCCGTGTGCGCGCTCATACCGGCACTTCCCGCGACCTTCAACTTCACCTCCTATTTCACTGTGCAAAATCTTATAATGCAGCTGTCAAGCTGAGTAGCAAAAAAAAGGATTCATCCATTGATGAAAAAAAAAAGATCAAGACATTCAGGGTTGTGCCGCGGATTGAACGCGGGACCTCTCGCATGTTTCCAGTGGAACTCAGGGTGAACCCTAAGCGAGAATCATACCACTAGACCACACAACCTGGGATCTTGTTGGATGGATTTGCACAATTAATGTACATAACAAAAATTTTACATAGGTAGGGTGGCATAAGGCAGGAGAATACTTGTCTAAGGAAGGGGCAAGACATAATGTGCTCATAGCTGAGCGAAGGAGCGTTTGAGGATATCCTGTATCAAATCGAGAGAGCCTCTCGACACTCTTCCCTTCATCATCTTACATCAATCTTCAACTTTCACAGTCGCCTGCTGCACATGAGGAGCCTTTGCTCCTATTAGAGTGCCGTCGGCAAATAAACGTGAATTGGACGTCACAATCGGGATCCAGAGTGAAAGATATTATCCAGATCCATTATCGACTACGCTTACACATTTTCCATGTCTATAGGATATACCCCCCCACCCCCCCAACACCAAACACAAACGCCGCCCAAACATCAAACCTCCGGCTCTCTCCTCTCCTCCCTCGGTGTATACGCCGGCGGCGGCCCCACACCCTCCTCCCCATGCCCATGCCGCTGACACATATACGGCGGCGCCGGTACATGTACCTCTGCCGTCTCCGCCGTCTCCTCCACCCCCCTCACCACCGGCGGAACCGGCACGCGGCTCGCCAGCGCCAGCGCCAGGGAAATCAGAATCCTGTCATCGTGAGCTTAACCACCCAGCCGTAAGGTCACTCGTAAGGCGACTCACACTTCCACAACCGCGCCCCAAAACCCGCCGCTGGCCGCACGACACGCGTCGCTCAGCCGCGCGCGCTGCGCGGTCCCCGTCCCACACATGTTAGACCCGTCGGTCGGAGCGCAGGTCTCTGTGCTCCCCGGGGCGGAGAATAGCGTGCGCGCGGCGTAAGAGGCGGGGTCGAAAGTGAAGAGACGCGCACACCCGTTCGGTAGGCCGGTGAGGGCGAGGAGCACGATGATGACGAGGAGGAGGGGGAGGTGTAGGCCTGCACTAAGGAAAAGGTGGGACAGGTGGTATGTCTTTCGGCGGATGGGCGTGGGGATGAAGAGCGTGGTTATGAAGAGGAGGGGGGGTGTTATGGGGAGGAGGATGGACTAGGGGGTTAGTCGGGGCGTGACTATGATGGAGGGACGTACGATTATGGCTACAACGCGTATGTGTTTATGGCTGCTGAACCCAGCCGGCAGCCCGAGGGCCAGATTCGCGAATATACCCAGCAGCACGACGGCGAGGATCCAAGCTGCCGTGCGGAGAACGGCAAGTGCGCGGGTCAGCGTAACTGGATGCGAAGCCCACAAGCGCATGCGCTGGCGGCGCGACAACAACTCCATAGACACAACAACCACGAGCGCCACGGGACAGAGGAGGAGGCAAAGTGAGCTCCAGAGCCTCATCCGCGGTGCAGCGGCCTATTTGACTGCACCACCAAACGTCTCCCGCCGCACATCGCCGCCACCCCGGGGCCGATCATGGTGCGACGGACCTGCCGCGCGAGGACTGGGCGTTGCGCGATCCGGCGGATGGGCCCGCGAGGGTTAAAGGTAAGGGTTTCTTGACAGTGTTGCTGTGCCTCGCGCCCATGGGCCGCGATGTCGCGGGCGTGATCCGCGACCGGCTTCTGGTGAGATAGATTAACTCGGAAGGCGGGTAGATAAATTGGGAGCACGCGACGACGGGGTTTTGCAACCGGGGGTCGGGCCGGGAGGGCTGGTTGGCACGGGATGGGAATGTCGCTTGTATGTAAGCTTTGCGGTGTAGCTGGTGGTGGTTGGGGGCAAGGCTGAGCCCGATGCGGAAGGTGATGCTCTACTTCGCAGTATGAAGGGAAACTCCCCACCGGCGCTCGATATGAATAGCCTGATCCCCACTTGCACGGACACTGCGAGTCAGTCAGCCAGCGTGGTGCCGCATCGCGGGGTCCGCTGTCGAGCATCACATCTTAAGCTCCAGTATTCACAACAGCCAAATCCGGCGAGCATGGAAAACGCCACGCTGCGCGCACGAGTAGCCTTTAGACGTAACCCCCGCATCGAGATAGAAGCCCCGGCCTATCGTGGCAGGTAAATTCGCCTTCGGGCATGAACAGCTGGCAAAAAGGACAGCACTTCTTTGTCCCCTGCCTCGCGCCGGCTTGCTCGAAACGAGTGGATGCCTGAGGCATATGTGGGTGCCTGCGCCTGCCGCCCCGTGAACCCAGCCCCCCGGACATTGACGTAGCAGGTTCTGCTCCGTGACAACACCGCGATAACTCCCGCTATTATGCTCTCAACTTCGAAGGCCGCTTGATCTCCGTTATTGTCGCGCATATCCACCCGAACACCCCCCATCGCCGCATACACGCCCGCGCCCGCGCCGTCGGCTTATCTCGCAACGTACCGTGCCGCGGCCCGAACACCGCGCCAAACGAACCCCACCACAACAACCGCAACAATGACCGCCTTCCTAACCTCCCTCTGGACCTCTATCTTCACACCCGGCCCCACGCCAACCCTCCTACTCGCAACAAACGCCTCCTTCGCGGCCTTGCAAGCCCTTCTCTTCGCCCTCCTCGTCGCAACCCGGAGCGCGCATTTCCTCGCCTTGTCCCTTATCAGCGGGGCACTGTGGTGGAGTATTAACTGGTTTGCGGCGGAGCTGCGCAAGGCAGAGAAGGCGGAGGAGGAGGCGGGAAGGCTGAGACGGCGGCGGACGGAGGTTGAGGGGGAGAAAGGGAAGGAGAGGGGGGGGGAGGGGAATAAGGAGGAGAAGGAGAAGCCGGTGGTTGAGAGTTTGGATACGAGTGCGCACTTGGGTGGTGATGAGGCTTCGCCGGCTACAACGCCGACGGAACCAGTGTTTGCGCCTGTAAGGGTGCGGGGCGGGCCGGGGAAGATATTGGGTGTTATGCAAAGTGCAAGGCGGGCGAGGGAGGAGAGTGCTGCGGAGCAGGCGAGTGGGCTGGATACTGGCAGTGCTGCTGCGGCGGGTGTGACGAGGAGGAAGGGAAGCGGGGAGGGGGAAGCGGGGACGGATAGCGAGTGGGAGAAGGTGGAGGGGAGCACTTCTTCGTCTGGGAAGGTGGAGTGATGGTTGGATTTCGCTGTGATCGCTTGGTTGGGAGGGCCGGCTAGATTTTTGATGCCTTTTTATACCTTTGGGGCTTGGTCCAGCGACCGATTTTCTAGGCTCTGTATGTCATTGATTCGATGTCTGAATGTTTGGATGAGGTTGGCGTGGAGTAGAGGCTTTTTTATGCCTGTTTGTCTTGATTGCTTTCCCTCTCGCGGCTCTTTTGGACGACCAGATTTGTCCTACGCAATACAGCACGTTGGAGGGGTATCACGACAGCTGCGAAGGGTCTTTGAAGGGACTAGGTGGTGGAAAGTACAAGCTGGACGGTTTGATGATCCCGGTTCCCATGAGGGCAACCTAAATACCTCTTGTTCCTCCAAGCAACACGCAACTAGCAGTAGTTTCCACAATATCCTGCATATCATAGATCAGAATGTCGCTGATCGACTTCATAGGCGCTTCTGTCAGGACGCCTAACACCCATACCCATGCCTGATCAACCATTCGAAACACCACAGCCTACACTACAGCAGTACATATGGACCCGCTAACCTTATACATCGGAGCTTCAGTCCGTCTCCAAGCTTCTTATAAGCTTATCGTTCCCAGAATACACCATTCAGCGCACATTATCTCCACCACAGCCACCCCCAACCAACTCCACCACCATAAATCCCCAGCAACAACGGCCAAAAACCACCAAGCGTACCCGGCCCCACCTCCAGCGCCACAGCCAAGCGCATCCCGCAGGAACGCAGGATCGCACCCAAAATAGCCCAACCGTCAGCCTCAGTTCATGCTCAATGGCTGCGCCATCCGCGCCGACGCCCACAAGCACACAAGCGCGAAACACATCCCTATGAAAGACTCCAAGGCCCAAGGCCTGCCATGGCAGCGAGCGTCAGCAGCATGTCGCGATGCTCCTAGTCCCCTAGCGCGGACGACCTCCCATCGTCTCCTCAACCCAGGCACAACAACGCTTTTCCGCCTTCGTTTAAGGGAATATAACCCACATACTCGGCCCGGTTCCTTCATCCTTCTCTGCTTCCTCCGGCGGGTGAACCAGCCGCCGCAATGGCCAAAACCACCTCCAAACCCCCCCGCGCGCCCTTCCCGGGCCGCAAGCGCTTCGTCGTGCCCCTCTGGATCTTGCAAATCATCATCGGGCTAGTCATCGTCTTTTTATCCACAGTAGCGCTGGCCGTAAAACTTGATGACGAGACCAAGGAGGAGAGAAAAAAGTACGTACCATTGGGCCACCAGCCCATGCCTACTCCATGCATGGTGCTGACTGCCGCAGAATCCAAGGCATCGCGCTCTACTACATTTTCTTCGGCGCCATCGTCCTGATCCTCACTATCGTCGAGCCCATCCTGTTCTGCGCGCACCGCTTGTCGCCGCTTGTCTTCCTCATCTTCCACGCGGTCAAGGTGGTTATTCTCGCTGTGCTGCTCATCCGTAGCATCGTCAATGTTGCAGGGCAGACCACGGAAGTGGGGAATACGGCGATTGTGATTGTGCTCACTGTGTTCCTGTAAGTTATCCCCTCCATCAGAAAGCATAGTGGCTAACGAGACAGCATCATCTTCATCGCTTCCTTCCTCTATGCCCTCGTTACATGGCGCCACGCTCGCCGCGACGCAAAATACCAAGTCGTAGCGAACCCTGATCAACCGTTACATCGCGAGTCGACGGGCACGGAATATGCGCCGTATGCCGGCTATGGATTCAAGGCTGAAGCTATGGGCAACGATGTGTATGAGATGCAGCATGCGCCTGTCCAGCACGAGATCGATGGGCGACCCGCGGTGTTCGAAGCGCCGGATGGAAGGGGGGAAGTCGCCGAATTGCCGGCCGCTCAAATGCCGCGGGAGCAAAGAGTTGGGGAGGTTGGGAAAGAGGACCGATGACAGGAGGGGAATGCATGACATCATACTCATAGGAGGGCAGTCGGAGGGCGGGCAGGAGCGCCCGAACGCACCTGCACCCTGGAGAAGGAAGGCAT